TTTCTCTTGTAGTAGTAGATACAAACTCTCCTATCTTTTTTATTCTTCACCACTTTGCTCTCACACACACTCACTCCCTACTGGACCTTATCTAAGATTGAGTACAAATGATAAAATAGCACGCCCCCCTCATTAATTCAGCTATGCTATTTATATAAAAAAATAAATAACTAATAACTAATTCTGGCACCACGGTGCTCAATGAGGTAGCGCTACGACCCTCTTAAAATGAACTAACACTATGAAGTTGATAAAGTTCTCTGTAGTGGCGCCCTGACTAAATTGACGTGTCATTTTCTAAAAGCAATTAAATTAACTATTCTACTATGGTTCTTGGGTGATCTTGCAATGTGATGCTGGGTGAGCACTGTGGCATTGAAGACTTGTCATTATGACACCCTACTCTTTATTTTGAGGTCAAAAATAGGCGTTTAATGCCTCGACACTCCTAAGAATGGCACTACGATGCTGAGTCTTTTCTTCTTTTTTCATGCCTTTACTTTGAATTCTTTTTTTCTTTATAATAGTATAGAGTGAGGCAATTTAAAGCTAAAAAAAATAGCTTAAATCATAAAAAATTTACACTAACTATATCTTCATCCTCCCTAATTCTAAGTTTTTACACAATGCAAACCTAATTCATACTAAGAAATTATAATTATCTAAGTCATATTAATTTCTTTATTTTATTTGCTAGTCAACTTCTAACAAACTATACATTCCCATTTACAAAAATTAAATTCTTCTTAATTTCCCTATTAGACTCATAACAATATATTCACTATATTATTTAGTAGCAACCAACTTATAGTTTCTATTTTCCACATGATTTTTCTGGTCTTTGGTTCTTGATATGTTATTTCTTGACCATATCTACCTCAACATATCTAATTCATATATGTAGTTTGATTATGAAATTTAATTGGTATGGTTTTGCAGGAAATCCTATGATGTAAAAGAAATGGAATTTAAAATGAGAGAACATGAAATGTTTAATTTAAATTCAAGGAGGGAATAGAAGTTTTTGAAAATATTTATATGAAATATGATGACATAGATTTATAATGATAAAATAATATCTCAACTTTGACATTAAAAAAATGAAGGAATTGAATTATAATATTTTTTTGTGAAAAAAATGAACAAATAAGAAACATTCATATGGAATGAACATAGGCGAAATTGCATGCTATTGTTTTCTAATTTCTTAAAAGCATGTGTTTAATAATCTTTATTTTTGTAATAAAAATATATTTTTACTCATAGTAGGTCATGAATTTTGTATTATCATCTATGTCTATGTAGGTATTTCACAAGTGCCTAGAAGGCTTCAATAAGAAAACTCAGCCAAAGCAATCACATCATGCAATAAATGCACGCATAAGCATGGAGCATGATTCATTCTAGCTGATTGAATCAAATAGTCGACACAGACAATTGCCTAAGGTGAATCATATATATAGATTCATCCAAGCCATCGGGAATCCCACATCTTGGCAAAGGTAAACCTTTAAAGGCCACTATACATTGATTTGACCACTTTCAAACAAGTTAATGTCATAGACCAACACTAAGATACACAATCTTATGTAGGCCAAACATTCTTGGTGGATTTCTTTCAACTTCATTCGTAAATGTTAATTTCATTAAGTTACACTCTAACAAATAACTTTGGATAGGTAAAACATTCTTTGTATATTCCTCTATATATGCCTCTTCAACATAAGTTAATGTCATTAAACAACATTCTAACAAATAATCTTAGTTAGGTAAATAAATTTTATTGGATTAATTCTCTTGAGCACTTTCACACTGATAAATATCATTGAATAATACTCTGACAAATAACCCATAAATATCAAACATCCTTGATTGATTTCTCTAAATATCATCTACCACAAGTTAAGATTTGGGTGGACAAAACTTATAGCATAACTCTTCAGGGCCCTCCTTAACATAAAGAATGAACTGTTAAGCTCTGACAAATAACCTCATAAATATCAAACATCCTTGATAGATTTCTCTAAATATCATCCACCACAAGTTAAGATTTGGGTGGACAAAACTTATAGCATAACTCTTCAGGGCCCTCCTTAACATAAAGAAGGAACTTGGTTAAAAGTTTAGTATTGACAAAGCATGTCATTATTATATAAAGTATTAATCATGCCATAAAGAAAAAGAAGGCATTTGAAAGGTTTTATGAAGATTGGATCACTATTACACAAAGATCAATATTTCATAAATTATCATAGTTATTTTGAAAATCTTGAATGCAGTCAAACTTGTAATACTAAATATATCATTTACAAGAATTTTTTTTTTAATTGACATACAAAACTTCTAATTGATTGATATCACAATATTATTCATCAACATCATCAGATATTTTTGAAGCCGTCTAAATCCTTTAAACTCTCACCTCAACATCCAAAAGTTTTTATCTTCAATCTTGATTTTTGTAGAAATTTTGTTATATATGCTTTAACCTTATCTCATCTCATTTAATTCTAATGGCATCAAAGCCGGCATCGATGCTTAACACCAACAATATTGGCACCCAATGTTAATATATTCCAATAAGAAAATTGCGAAATCTTGAAGTTAGGTTTCAACAAAGAAACTTTTGCTCTAGCTATAACATATCTTAAGTAAACCTATGGTTTCAATGAAAATGGTGATGCTTGACATCACTAATGTTAACACTGAATGTCAAACTCCTTTGATATTATCTAAGTAGATCATTATATTTTCATAATGTTGGAGTAAGAAATTATATAAGACAATAGGAATATGTAGAGCTTTAAATTTTACTTCTAACAACATTGCACCATAAATTTCAATCATTTAATGCTACAATGAATCTTTTACAATGGTAAAACAATGAAGGAATCCTTTTTATAGAGAAAAATTACTTCAAAATTTGTCTGACTACCAAAAATAATTAGCACTTTTTGTAAAGGAAGATTATAGAACCTGATCGTATAAGATTTGTTGTTATTCCAATCGTGGGAGTGTTGTACAAAATTAATTTATATCTATATATTTCACCTTTCATATATCGTAAAAAAATGTTGCATCTTAGGCTTCGTTTGGCACAGTCTTGTTACTGCTTTCTAAATCAACTTTTTAATACAAAAATATTTTGAGCTAAAATTTTTGTATAAATTAAAAAAAAAAAAGATTAAGGAAGCTATCCATTTTAAATCTTAAACTAATCTAAAAAAATCTATAGACTCGAAAAAAAAAATTGCAACTTTTTTTGTTATAAATTATTAAAAAAAGTTTAAAAGAAACATTTTGCCTAATGGTGACATTGAACGCGAGTGGAATATAAGAGAAGAGAGAAGTGGTGACAAAGTGTAGAGCGGCGATGGAGTTTACACGGATGATGCATATATCAAAAGAGCTGATTAGTTGCAACCACACAAAATTCTCAAAACTTGATAAATTGAAGTCATTGGAGAGGGCAACAGACACTCATCGTGGCTATGTACAGTATGTAAGAAGGATATATTTTTGGGAGACATTTAGGCCAATTGTGACAAACTCATATGTATATCACATACATAAACTTTAAACTCAATACCTTTCAGTTGAAAGTCAAAGCTCCTAACCAACGTATCAAACTGACCTGCCTGTGCAAGGAGGTCAATCATAGGGAACCTTTCAGTTAAAAGTCAAAACTCCTAATCAACGGATCAAACTGAATTGCATGTGCAAGGAGGTCAGTTGCAACAAGAGTGATTGAGAGAAGAAATATAAAGAGTGATGGTCAAAGATTTGGCTAAACACGAGATTATTGTACAATTTATTATAGGGTACTTGCAAATGACCAAGACAAAATTGCAAACTCCATTACAAAAACAAATGACTTACTCACAGTTTCTAAATTGATTTTTTGGGATCCCTATACAACGACAATCTTGTTGTATTTCTATTATAAAAAAAAAAGGTTTTTATAATAAATTTTATTAGAATATGATAGTAATAAAAAAATATTATTTGATTTTAGAAATTAAAATATTCATAATAACTTAATTTTTTTCTCATATTAATTATATAGCAATCAGCTGCAACCCAAAGAGATTTATTTTTAGATATTATTAAATTTTCATCTTAAAAAAAATTCCTTTTAATTCAGAACACCATAAAAAAATGATTCATATAGGCAACTCATATAATGAGATAAAAAATTAATAATGCTATTATATTAATTTTTTTCACAATTGATTTAAAATTTTTTAACATTTGACATTGAAATTTAATTTTCTTAGATAAACTAAAATTTTGTAATTATATTTATTTTAAAAAATATAATAAATAGTAAATTTTAAGATATTTATATATACTTAATAAAATAAATTTAACATAAATTAATCAAATTTCATTTTTCATATCCATCCCCTATATAAGTGGAGAAATTATTACCTGTGAAATCCGAACGTAGCTCTCATTCAAATTCCAATGAAATGAAGCCACGTCATTTGTACACACCCTGTGTACGACTTATACACAGAATGTATATAAGAGTAATTTATACACATCCTCTGTACAAGTTATACACAAAATATGTATAAACCATATGATTTCATTTTGTTGGAGTCTGAATGAACTGTTGTGTTCGGTTCGCACACAGAATAATTTCTCCTAAATCCATTCTATAGTAATTGAGCATTTATTATGTGCGGTCATCAATGCTGTCAGGAGGTGAATTAGGATGCGTCACATAATCATTTTGTTGTATATCGTGACTATATAGTGTTTTGTACTGAGTGACATGATGCATCCGAGCAATAATTTACTTTCATAATTTCACCAAAATGTTTTTTTTTAATTTTTTTTAATTTTTTTTAATTTTTTTTTATAACTATACAGTCATAAACTCCTCTATCTCTTCCCAGCCTGTCCGTGTGCACTTACAGGCTGTCGTCTTACAGGTCCTGCCTACGCCTTTAAATAACCACTTCCCGTTTTTCTCTCCTCAGTCCGCGCTCCCCCTCGAGCTCCTCCTATTTCTATCGCTGCCCTAATCTACCGCAGGAGATCGCCGGACAATTCCCTTCACTTCTAATGGGATCATGCGTATCCTACGAGGCCACGGCGGTGGCCCCTGTAATGACGGCGAAGCTGATCCTCCCGGACGGCGACCTCCGCGAATTCGCGTGGCCTGTAAAGGCATCACATGCAATTCAGAAAGAAACCGATTGCTTTGTCTGCGACGCCGACGATATGGACTTCGACCGATTCGTGACGGCGATCCCCGCCGACGAGGAGCTCCGGCCAGGTCAGATCTATTTTGCTCTGCCGCGATCTATGCTTGGACAGCCTATGCCAGCCGAGAATCTTGCGGCGCTAGCGGTTAAGGCCAGCTCTGCGTTGATGAAGGCCGCGCCGGGACGAAATAGGGCGCTAATCTTCCCGGAAATGTGTTCACCGGCGACGACGGTGAAGACGACGGCGAGGAAGCGGAGGAATGGTGGGATGGGACGATGCTTTGAGACGAATTTGGGTGCGATTCCGGAATGAGTTGCAGGTGTGAAGGAGGTAAATGAGAGCGTCTTTTGGCGGGGAATGGCAAGGACGGACAAGGCGGTCCGCTGTGCCGCGGGGACGGGATTTACGGCGGATGGGAGTTGATTTGATAAGATATAGCACGGAGCCCAAAGGCGAGCGGCGAGGTGGAGATTGTTTGTGGATTTTGCGCTCTGCAGGAGCAGTTGCACCGCTTTTGTTTCAAAAATTTTCAAAAAAAAAATGATGCATTGAGACGGAGAGTTTTCATAATTAAGATTTATGATTTTTCAGTATTTTATAATCTTTGAAATATGTTGTTATCAGTTTCACAATTGTATGATGATCCAATCTCACTTCTAAAAAGGACAAATTCATAATAAAAAATAAAAATATATATAAGACATAATTCAAAATAAATTCTTATACCATATTATAATTTTGAAGTAAAAAAATTTAAAAGCTTTACATTCTATTTTATATTTTTAAATAATGTTGAATTATAACTAATTTGGAATTAAGTCAAATATTTCTTTGTCAATATATAACATTGGAGAATAACTAAATTAGTCATCATCTATTTTACTATGTAATTAATATTTAATTATTTTCATTGCAGATAATATTTTTTTAATTATAGTAGTGGCAACTGACAAAGTTATTGTCAAGATAATAAACTTGTAAACTAAAGAATATATAAATACTTTCTTAAAATTAATAATATATTTTATAAGATTAATAAGTCCATTCAAAGATGAGAACTCATCACGTGTACGTATATTAGGAATATATGTGAATAGTTAGTGTTCTACAGTTACAAGTTCAACTACAAAAAAATATGTTAAATATAATTCTACAAGTTGAATTAATTTTTTCTTATCATAAGCAAAAAAATGAATTACTTAGATTTGGTCACGAAATACAAGAAACAACTCAATACTAGCTTCAAAGAATCTATTATTTAGTTATTGAAGTTGCATATCAATAACAGTGTAAAAAAATCAACACAATAATAATGCAAATTTATTATTTATTCATTTCTACGTCCTAATCGTCGACAAGCCTTGAATATAGAATTCATATTAGGAACATCATCTTCAAAAATATTACAAAAGCGTGATACTTCATCCAATAAAAAATCTCATCCTATCTCTCATATTATCTGGGAGGTTATTAATATCAATATCTACATGTTCTTTCCTCTTCAAATAAAGGTCTATTTATTATATCCTAGAAAGAAAATTAGGACAAAGGAATACGACTTGTCAATAAGAAAATCATTTCATTATTATATTGACAAGAACATGACCACCAAATGAAAAAAAGAATAAATTGTTTTGAATGAAAATTGATTTTAAACAATATATACTGATGAATGTCATTATTATCATTAATTAATGATTTAAAAGCAATAAATTGCATATGTCTATCTCAAGACTTTTTAACTACTACAAACAATTCAATATAATAGATAATAATGTCAATGAACACCAAATTTGTTTGGAGCTTTGGCCATTTGAATATTGAAAAAAGTGAAAATTTCATGAACACTTAGCTGCGAAAATCATTGAAGATTTTCATGCCCACAACAGCCCCAATAGTCTTGTAGACATCAATAATAGCTTATCAATACTAGAATGGGCTAACTTGGGCAAAGCTACAGTGTGTACGGAACCACGAACGCCATTTTTTCCTTTGAGCAATCGAGCTTCGGCTTTCAGGTGGTAGTAGGGGAGAGTTGAGAAGCGAAGAAAACGCACTGGCTGTGCTTGCGGTTTGAATAGGTGCGTGAAAGGAGGTGTCTAGGAGTAATTATTCCGTCACGTTACCAAATGCATCCGGAAACCAATAACAAAATGCCACGTCACTAAAGTGCTCGGTACCGTGCTCGGTACACTCGGTATGCTCGGTATTTTCACCGGATGTAATAATTTTTGGTGTCTATGGCAAAAAAATTAGATGTAAGGGGGCAAATTATCAAACAACCCCAATTATAAAGAGTTTTTTAATTTGCCCGGGCAACAGACGATTCCGCCCTTGTATACATGTTTTGAAAAATAATAAATATATATTTTTTGTCATAAGTTTAATAAAATAAAAATGATAAAAATTAAGTGCCGAACAGTTGAAGATTAGTGAGAAGTTTTAAATTTTAAAAGAAAATTAAAGAACCTTTAATAATTAGTTAATTTATATTTAGTTTTAAGAAATAAATTTGTTTATATATATATATATATATATATAACTTTTAAAATTTAATTATTTGTGGAGCAGCTTCATTGACTTATAACTTAATAAATTTTTAGGAGTTCATAGCTTTAGTTCTGCGAGTCCAATCTCAGAAAATCTTAGGAGCATCTTGACCCTCTATTGGTCGAGTTGTGTAATTTTTTTTTTCATATCAAATAACATGCCCAATGTAAGGTGATTTGTTCAATTTAACACTTTGCTTGGGATGACTTTTTTGTTGTTTCTTAAGACAGTTTTTTAATAAAAAAATTAAATATTTCTATTAAAAAGTTATTTTTAGAAACAGTAAGAAAGCCGTTTCAAACAAAACCTAAGGCTTCGTTTGGGATGACTTTCTTTCTACTTCTTAAAGCAGCTTTTGGTACAAATATTTTTAATTTTGTACTAGAAAGTTGTTTTAAGAAGCAGAAAGAAAGCCGTCCCAAACGAAGCCTAAGTCTTCATTTGAGACAGCTTAATTGCTTCTTTCTTAAATAGCTTTCTAGTATACAAGTTTCTTGAATTAGAAAATTATACTAAAAAGTCGTTTTATAAAGCAATAAAAAAGTTGTCCCGAACGAAACGTAAATATATATATTTTACATTACATGGTGTTTGATTGTCACAATGATTGAGGGTCAAGCTCATCTCTTTATTCATTCAACCGTTAAGTATTGATTCTCACATTATTAGACTATATATTGGACAATGGCAAATATTGCATGATCATAACTAATAATTTAGATGTTGATAATATCTTTATTGAACCTGTCAATGGTATTAATGATAGGGTGTAAAAATTAGGTTTTGGGACAGGTTTGAGTCCAACATGAAATTGACTCGACCCAAACTCGACCTGATTCTAGAAATGGATCTTAAATTCGAACCCGGGTCTACTATACATATTGAACAATTAAAAAAAAAACTATTAACAGTATGGTTAGAGGAGCGTTGGATTGGGTCATGGTGTGAGGTCACAATGTGCGCATGAATGCGGGGTTGGCTGGCTGCGCGAGCGAGGGGCTTGGTCGTGGTGCTAGGTCGTAGCGGTGCGAGTGCGAGGCAAGGTCATGGTGCCAATGCGAGCATGGGGAGGGGGGTTGTGATGTGAGATTGGGCGGGGTCGTGCTATTATGCGGGAGATACCTAGGAAGTTCCAAATAGAGTTCGAGCTTTCGGGTTGACCCAAACCCATCCAAATTTACAGTATGGTTAGAATTTTACACCCGAACCCGACCCATTTCGCACACATGTTGACTCGAACCCAAAAGTTTTTGGTAGGGTTGAATATTAACACCCCTAATTAATGAGGTCTATTAAAAAACTAATAGCAGTCCATAGGATCAATTGATGGATCTTCCAGCCATGGTAAAGAGCCACCGCGAACAGCACGCGGATAGTCGGTAGTTTTGCTACCGGGCTGAAGGTTTCGCCATAATCAATGCCATATTCCTGCTGGTTGCCCTGTGCAACAAGACGAGCTTTGAATCGTGCTATCTTGCCATCGGAGTGCAGTTTAGTGCGGAACGTCCATTTACATCCTAAAACCTGAGCATTTCGTGGGGCTAGAACAAGCTGCCATGTATCCTGTTTTTGAAGTGCAAGAAACTCAGCTGCCATTGCATTGCGCCATTCAGGTAATTTGTTTGCCTCTGTGTAGCTGGTGGGATCGGAGTGGGAGGCCGTTTGATTGAACAAATTCATTCTCTGAATGGGCTTTAAAGAACCAGTTTTAGCACGGGTTACCATAGGATGCCGTTGAGGTGAATTAATCGGTATAGACGCGTGTCTGGACATGATAGATTGAGAGCTTAGAGATGCAAGGGAGTTGGTAGAGGACAATTCAGGATGTTGAGAGTGTTGAAGTGATGGTGTGAAGGTTGGTTTGGTCTGATGGCATCTGTTTTGATGCAAAGTAGATGACGGTATGAGAAAAGAGGGAGGTAGATCTTGCGAAGCAGGTGGAGATGTGTTATTATCTTTGAACGACAAGGGAAATGAAGTTTCAAGAAATTGGACGTGACGAGAGATGATGACACGATTGGTTTTTCGGTCAAGACACTTGAACCCTTTGTAGTTACTGTTGTATCCCAGGAAGACACAAGAGGTAGCACTTGGTTGCAGTTTGTGTCTAGAGTGATGAGGTAGAAGCGGGAAACATTCGCAGCCGAAGGTGAGAAGCGAGGTGTAATCGGGAGCGGTGTTAAACATGAGCTGAATGGGAGGAATGTTACTGGTGGTAGGTGTAGGCATCCGATTTATTAGATGAGCCGATGTAAGCACAGCGTCGGGCCAGTAAGATGGAGGCATAGACGCCGTGTGGAGAAGAGTTTTGGCCGTTTCAATAATGTGACGATGTTTGCGCTCGGCCGCGCCATTTTGCTCCGGCGTGTAGGGACAAGATAGTTGATGCTGGATTCCTTTTGTTTGAAGGAAATGTTGAAATTGACGATTTACAAATTCAGTGCCTCCATCTGTCCGAACAGCTTGAACCTGATGAGCAATATGTTTTTCAATAAATGTAATGAAGTTTATAAAAATTTTTGTAACATCTGATTTTAAAAGGAATGGAAAAATCCAAACATATCGTGAGTAATCATCCAAGATAAGCAAATAATAGCGAAAACCCTCTTTAGACGGAACTAGCGAGGGGCCCCAGACATCTGAATGAAGTAAAGCTAGAGGAGTTCGTTTGCGATTTACAGAATTAGAGAACACAAGTTTGTGGCTTTTACACGCCTTACAAGAGGTACAATCAATGTTCATATTTGAAATACAGAGAGAAGGGTAAGCGTGAGAAATAATATCAAGAATGCGTTTGTGAGGATGCCCGAGACGATCATGCCAGTTGAACTTCGACGTGTAGGTAGTGGAGAGAGCCTTCTGAACAGCATTGGATTTCTTGATCGAGATGGGATAGAGTCCAGCCTTACATGGTCCTTGAAGAAGAGTTTTGTGAGTCTGTAAATCCTTAACAAGAAAACCGTTAGGATCAAAGAGAATGGAGATGTAGTTATCATTTACAA